GAAATCTTACTCGGGTCAACCTTCACCCCTTCAGCGGAGATCACGTGACCTAAGAAAGTTACCTCCTCAAGCCAAAACTCACACTTGGACAACTTTGCATAGAGTTCCTGCTCCCTCGGGATGGTTAATACTTTTTGCAAGTGGAACGCATGTTCCTCGGCATTCTTTGAGTAAACGAGGATGTCATCGATGAAGACCACGACGAATTGATCCAAGTACGGCCGAAAGACACTATTCATTAGATCCATAAAGATAGCAGGAGCATTAGTGAGTCCAAAAGGCATTACGGTGAACTCATAATGTCCGTAACGCGTCTTGAAAGCTGTCTTCGGTATGTCTTCCTTCTTTACTGGAATCTGATAATATCCGGACCTTAAGTCAATCTTCGAGAACCCCTTGGCTCCACGTAGCTGATCAAACAAATCATCAATGTGCGGCAATGGATAACGGTTTTTAATAGTCACCTTATTGAGCTGTCGGTAGTCAATGCAAAGCCTCATATACCCATCCTTCTTTCGCACAAAAAGGACAGGTGCGCCCAAGGGGAGACACTTGGGCGGATGAATCCCCTATCCAGCAGCTCCTGTAATTGCGCCTTTAACTCCTTCATCTCTGCTGGAGCCATGCGATAGGGGGTGGCCGAAATGGGTTCCGTACCAGGAACTAAGTCAATGAAGAATTCTACCTCCCTTAGGGGAGGCAGACCTGGTAGCTCGTCAGGAAACACGTCAGGAAAATCACGTACGGAAGGAATATCCTTAAGGCTAGGTGGCTCCTTCCGTACATCTTTCACAGTGCATAGGAATGCCTCACACTTCTTTCGGACCAATCTCTTGGCTTGCATATAAGAGATAAACTCAGGCGCCTTAGGAAATAACTCCCCATCGATCATGATTGTGTCTCCATCCGGTGCTCTCAACCGTACGGTCCTTGAACTGCAATCTACGACTGCCTGGTGCTCGGTAAGCCAATCCATTCCAAGGATAATGTGAAATTCCTTGTATGGAAGTTCAATAAGATCTGTGAGAAAGATCTTCCCACGCGCGGTCAAAGGGCATTGTCGGTAGACGTGATGTAGGCTCATACTGTGCCCAAGGGGATTGGACACCAGCATCGGACTCTCCAACTGACCTCTCGCGACAATAGAATTAGCAGGCAAAGGAACACATATATATGACAGTGTAGACCCAGGGTCAATCAATGCTAACAAATCCGAACCAAAGAGTGTAAACATACCAAGTATGGCGTCAGGATTAGGATCGGCACGCCCTTGCATAGCGTATGTCCTCGCTGGAGCCCTGCCCTGCTGATGTGGTGTAGGAGGCTGCCGCTGTTGCGGGGCTCGCTGTGGCTGAGACCCGGCCGTCGAACGCTGACTCTGGGCAGGTCGGGGAGCCGTCGTCTGAGTGGATGCTGCATCCGTGGGGAACGGAAGACCAGGATTAGTAGGACAATCCCTCCTGTAATGCCCAGACTGTCCGCATCCCATGCACAACCCTAAACTCCTCCAACACTCCCCTGGATGGTTCCTCCCACAGGATTCACACATCGGATGCTTTGACGGCCTTGTCTTGCTGCTGGATGCCACTGAGTGAGCTAGTCCTGACTTGGCTTTCTTGGACGACTGAATACCAGACCCACTCAGAGGTCTCTTCCCCGAATAGGCCTTACCAGCACTGGCTACCTGAACCGGCATCTTGTTTGCCTTTTGCTCCACTACCAGCTTTGCTCCCTCTCGGGTCCTGACCACCTCCTTAGCCTGCTCATACATGATGCCAAAGTCTTGCCTGGACGCCGTAGACATACCCTCCTGGAGGTTCATGCGCATGCCCTTAACAAATCTATCGAATCGTCTCTTTGGAGTATTCACCAGATCTTGAGCAAACTCTGCCAGGTGATCAAAGAGCTGCCGGTATTCTGGAAGGCTCATGGTCCCCATCTCCAGGTGCACAAATTCCTCTCATTTTTCCTCAACAAAAGACTCTGGAATGTACTCCTCCCTGAACACGCGATCGAAATACTCCCACGTCAACTGGGGAGGGTGGTCGGCATTCCGTGTGGTGCGTTTCCACCGCTCATACGCGTTGTTCTGCAGCAACATCACAGCGAGATCAGCCCACTCACCCACGGGGACCTTTAAGTTCTCGAACACGCGACGTACGCGCTCCAGCCACCGGAACGCTACCAACGGATCAGCAATGTTCTCCCCGAGGAACTCTTCAGCACCATTCTTCCTCAATCTCTCCAAAGTAATCCTTGGCTCAGGCTGCCTAGCCAATGCGTTCTGATTCATGATCAGCAGTTGTTGCATGAGCTGCATCAGGAGAGCAGGATCCATCTGCGGGATCCCAGCAAGTCCACTGTGCGGGGCTTCCTGATGAGGGGCATTCTGGTTCTGGTTCGCATTAAGTTGCTGGGGAGACACGCTATCTCCCTCGGAGTGGTCTTCGTTGAGGTTCACGTTCGGATCCATTCTACAATTTATGATTTTACTAAATTAAGCAACAATTAACAAACAAGGATTTAAGAAATTACCACCCGGAACAGTGACGCGGTGAAGCTGTGGATGCTCAACACATGTATATACAATATGTGTTAAAATAGTAACTCCTTTTTTTTCCAAAAATTCATAACATTATTCTTTTTTTTTTGAAATTGATAACATTTTTTTTATAAACAAAAGTAACGTTATACGTGAATTTATTTAAGTAACGACCATTCGTGGCCCAAAAAAAATCGTTTTTAAAACCACATGCTCCGATACCTAAATGTAACACCCCAACCCGCATAACCCGAACCAACGGGTTAGCGAACTGGGTTGTTACTAAATTGGTATTCGCATGCATAATTTATAAAAAAAAAATAATCAACTGAATAAATTATAAAATTCATCTGTGAGAGTTCGAAACTAAACCAAAATTTATCGGAGTAATAAAACAAGTCCAAACATCGCGGAAGCATAATAAAACCAAAGTAACGTCCAACAGTCCATATAACCAAATAAAATAATGTAGTTTAATTATTTAAGTAATAGGAGCCATCCACGCCGCACCACCACCTCACTACCCTCCGGGTTGCCCATCAAAATCTGTGTTCCTACCTGCGTGCAGTCAAACAACAACGGCTACACACTCAGCGAATTGCTGAGTGAAAATATACCTAAGCTAGGGTTAACTCACAGAATAGCACCACGTTAGCATACAAATAACAACAGCATGTGATCGCGGAGAAAAAACAGCTTAAATAAACATATTTATTTTAACACCTTTCATTTGAATATCATGTCCTTATTTTATTCCACATCAACTACTTTGAGTCATGCCACCCCAAGCGATGCTATAAAAGGGCCAGCTCATAAACTCAAAGGAGATTCACTTTGGGCGGGTTGAAGCCCCTGTCCCTGTGATGCCAGGACAGGTCGCGGACTTCCGTACGTACGTTTTTAACCCAAGACCCCCGGGGGTGCAACGACGCCCCACAAAGGCCACTTCCTAGCATATCTTATTGGTGATTCAATAAGTCAATCCAATTCAGGCCTGCCTAATTATACTAGGTGGCATAATTCCTATTAATCATTCATAATCCACAATATTCACCAACAAGATCAATTTAATTTAAATCTCAGTTCACAATTCACAACAAGTCACGTAGCGGCCTATCCGGGCCAAAGACCCGCGATTACCGTCATGCATAATCAAACAACCCGAATTGCAATTAACCCAACTTACCTACGCGGAGTCGAGACCAAGGAATCGATCCTCGGGCCCGCTGCCCCCGCCGGAGCTGTATCATTCACCACCGGATCAGCCGACAACCTGCCGGACCGACCCGGCAGCCCAAACCCGTTGCCCGTTCAGGCAGCCCCACTCAACCGGCCCAACGCTGCCGGCCCAATGCAGCCGGCCTAACAGCCGGACCCACCGGCCCAACACCCCGGACACTCGGTCCCACGACCTGGTCAGCCCCAACTGCCCAGACAACCCCAATTGAATCTAAATTGACCCGTTTGCACAAAAATCAATCCCAATTGAAACCCGAATTAACCCGACTTAACCAATTGGGTCCAAATCAAACCAATTGGGTCCAAATTGGACCCGCCGGAAACTGCCCGTACGCCGGCCGTAGCCACCACCGGCCAGCCGCCGTCGAATCACCGGAAAACAGCCCCCAACACAACCCCAATCCAATCTAATGCACATTCAACTACAAATTTCACAATCAAACACAAAATTGCTACCACAAGATCCTAAACTACGAATTAATGACAACTATAGCTATAGGAATCACGAATCACCTCGAATTATTGAAGAATTAGGAACCAAATCGAAAGAGAGAAGCTCGCCACTGCACTCCCTGTTGCAGCCGAATCTACCGTGCGACGGGGAAGGAAGAGCGGCGACGGTGGCTAGGGCGTTCGGCGAGGGCGGCGTCGGCGGAGCTCGGCGGCGCTGCTGCTGGCTGACGGAACAAAGAAGGAGAAACGGACGCAGAGCAGAGACACGAACGGGAAAAAAACGGATGGATGGTAAGTCTCGTAACCCCCTTCATATTTAATATAAAATTAAATAGAATTTTAGGGTCCAGTTTACACTTCCTAACCAGTCAGGATGTATTTAAGCCCAATTACCTTATTCGACATTCGTATCTTAGGCCCAGCAAGTCCGATTCTTAATTCGTTCGTACGGTCGGGTTCAGAACAGCGAGCGCTACAACGTAGGTCAACTCTCATATTAAATACGCAAATTAGAGAATAATCTTCATTTTTACCGACTTAGTAACTAATTAATTATATAAATTAATTAAAAATACCAAGCCGGGTTTTGAGGCGTTACAGAAATACTAATTCTTTTCTACTTAAAAATGTGTAAACTTTGAAGCATGATAAATGAAGCAAATCAAGTCATTCTAGTTAATTAGAGAAGGAATTGAAGTCTCACTATACTTAAAGTTCATGCATGTTATAGATGTTTGTCAATTTTGATTTTCTTTAATAATTTTAGGTAGTGTTTGGCAACTAGCATTTCATTTCAATTCATGCATTTCAATTCCAAGATTTGAAATCTTGAATTTCAAATGACAAGGGGATGTACATGGATTTGAAATTAAGCTTTGTTATGAATGAGAGGAATTTGAGTCAAATCCGGATTTGAAATCCAAATCCATGTTGCCAAACATGCCATTAATGATAAAGTTTTATTAATTTAAATACTAATTATATTATTTAATTTGTATTTAATTTAATAAATACTTGATAATGAAAGAATCTTCTTGTTTAATTTTTATATTAAAGCAATAAAGTCAAGAATTTAAAAATTGCACGGGGCCTTTAAGTATTATTAATGATGGGGCAGGCCTGCCTATCTTGCAAATATTGATACTTTCACCTTTTACGACTTTTCGTATGCTGTGTTGAGATCTAATGATATTTTGGTTTCTTGGTGAGACTGTAGCTTCTTTAGCTCATGTAGCAACCTTATCGTTGTCAATACAATGATATATTGATTTCTAATGGTGGGAGCAACGCTATCCTTTTGTGAAAAGCTACCAAAACCAGAATATCTTCCTTTTGCTACTTCTAAAGTTACAAATTTGTCTCATAGTTATGCGTAAGACACTGTGTGAAGACTTCATAACATTTGTTTTGCTAATTTCAGCCTACTTAATGGTTGTTCTAAATGATCTATTTTGGGTGCAACATTTACACTTAAGCCATTTTAGAGAACCATATTCTTTTGTCTCTTCTTAAGAACCAAAAGTTAACTTTACAAAGTTAATCGCTGCTCTTGGCTCAGTTTGAACATATACATACATACATACATACATATATAAAAAGCAAAGTTGCAGGTGGGGGATCTTTTCACCAGGGAAGACGCAGGTCCCCTCTTCCATTTTCTATTGTCCAAGTTGGGCATTCTTGCTATTCATGCTCCAACTTGAAGGGAACTATTGGAATATATTTTTGGTGTATGTTTTGTATTTAATTAATTACCTTGTATAAGTGAGTTTCCTTAGTTAGTTTTAGTTACTTATATATTGTATGTATATGGAATAAACACTAAAGAGAAGGCAAGCAGTTGAATTCCTGAATTCTAAAGGAGTTTATGCAACCATAAAAAATGTACAATCTCCGCCTCAATGTGCCGTCAAGCCCAACAGGAGAAAGTATGTGTCATACTTGACATGGAGGCCCCACGAAATGTTAATGAGCAACGCTTGACCAGGAAGTCGATTGCTATGCATGATTTGCTTCCTCTCCAAGATCGTAGACCGAGCGACACCTTTCTTCTAAAGAGTCAATTCCAATAAGACTAAAGAGTTTGTATATATGGATAGAATAGTGTTAGCGACTGTTTGAAGTGTTGAAGTCGTACTTGTTGTATCCACAGTGTAACGGTGAGCATAGTATGGTATTTAGCTCGTACTGATATTGCACCAAATATTTTAGTTTGGTATAAGATTTTACGTCATACCGTTCCCAATATTGAAATATTGGGTTGGTATCGGTTTCAATACAAATCAAGATAATACATACGTACAGGTAATCTTTAAAATCTAACAAACACCTTTATTTTTAAAAAAATTAAAAGTACATTTAAATAAAGAACCATAACAAACTAAACAATGAATAATTAAATACAAGAAATGCGTATGAAACTTAGTTTATGTTTCACAAACTAAAGAACGAACGATAACCAAATAATATTTCAAATATTTTTATATGTATCTACAAAATGTTAAAACTCGAATAAAAGTATAACATACACATAATAAAACTTGAACTAACTTTTCAAAATAAATTTTATATTTAATGAAGAAATATAAAAATATTATTATTTTTATACTTCCTCTGTCCCAATTTAAATCGCGTGTTTTGATTTACGATGTTCGACTGAAGTTATTTTAAATGTAATTTATTAAAGAATTAGAGTAGAAATAAAAAATTAAAAACTACACCAAAAGCTCTATGAAACAAGAGGTGATATGACTATATTATTTTATAAAATGAGTAACGAAAATAGAGAAAGAAAATGAATAAAATTTAACCCTACAAATCGTAAACAAACCTAATTTGGTACGAGGGATTAATATATTAGTATATATGTTTGGTTTGAGAATTTTGGTGTAGAGAGTTAACTCCTACCATTCGCAAATCCCGAACCGAAAATTTGGTTCGGTACAACTCGATTCTCTTGAAGTACTTTTTCAAATCAATATTTTAAATTTTTTAAAAAAATTTGGGATCGATTCAGTATGTGGTCACTGGTCACCCTACCACCAAGCACCGGTGGCACTATTACCGTCTAGACAAATTCGATGGTGGACCTAAGGTCCATCATGAATTTACATATGAGCAAGATATGCATTTCTTTACTAATTAGATAAGCTTTTTTATAAAAACTAAAAAAAATTAATATGTGAAAATATACAAAAATAATATGTACTCAAGTTGCACCACAAAAACCTTAGGGGGTGTTTGGTTCGGGGGTAAGGGAATGGGGAAACGGAATGGGATTCCCTCATTCCCTTTGTTGTGGTTTATTTTTAAAAAAATTCATTCCCTTTCTCTGTTTTTTAGTCTTGGATTACCCATTTCAGCCTTTTTCCATTCCCTGGCTTATATCCGTGTTTCTCATTCCATCCATTCCGTTTTTCATCCCATTCCTTTTCTAAACTTCTACGATTCCCCCCACCCCTGTTCCGTTTCTTCCTCGCCAGTGCCGCCACACACCTTCCCGCTATCAGCATCCGCCGCAGGTATGTTCTCCCCTCCCTT